TCAGTTTCCATGTGTTTACTCTTTTTCCGTTGATCTTCCTATTGTTGATTTCTAATTTGATAGCATTATGATCTGAGAAGATGCCTTGCAGTATGTCAATGTTTTTAAATTTATTAAGGCTTGCTTTATGGCCTAACATAGGTCTATCATGGAAAATGTTCCATGTGCAGTGGAAAAGAATGTATATTGTGTTGTTGTTGGGTGAAATGCTCTGTAGATGTCTATAAGGTCATGTTGGTGGATTGTATTGTTTAGTTCTTCTGCATCTTTGTTGAGTTTCTTTCCAGTTGTTCTATCTTTCATTGAAAGGGATCACCTTTTTTTAGAATGGGCACAAATTATGCATCTCTTTTAGTAAGTTGGCCAGGTAGCTGTCTTCTAAATTTCTTAGTATAAATGACTGAAGAAACAGTTCCAGTGCTGCATCTGTTTGTTGAAACATCTCAATGGGTATCCCATCAATTCCTGGAGCTTTATTTATCACTAATTCCTTCAGTGCATCTTGAACTTCTTCCTTTAATACCACTGTTTCTTGATCAAACGCTACCCCCTGAAATGGCTGAACGTCGACCAATTCTTTTTGGTACAGTGACTCTGTGTAATCCTTCCATCTTCTTTTGATGCTTTCCATACTCTTCAATATTTTGCCTGTAGAATCCCTCAATGTTGCAACTAGAGGCTTCAATTTTTTTCTTCAGTTCTTTCAGCTTGAGTAATGCTGAATGTGTTCTTCCTTATATAATGTTATAAGCCACATTATATCATATAAATTATTACAATAAAGATTTGTGAAAAACTTTTTAAGAGAAAGGGACATAATGCTAAATTGAAAAACGGATATAATATTATACATACGACTCAATTTCATTAAAAACATTTTGTGATCTACAAACATATATGTCTTATACATGTTTACAGCCATGGCATCACTTAACCTTCTGCCTAGAACTACAAAAGCTGGATAAAACAGGGACTGGAGAATAACCAGGCAGCCAGAATTTAAAAGATTAGAGAAAGAAGGGAAATACCCATGTTTACCTATGTTTCAAGTAAAACTCATATTGTTGTTGTTGTTATGTGCCGTAGAGTCGGACCCGACTCATAGCAACCCCTCCTTGGGTTTCCGGGCTTGGAGGCAGTATTAATGCGCTGGGGAGAGACTGGAATTTGGCAGTACCATGATGGCCAAGAAGTGAGAAGCCACAAATGTTGGAGGGGATAGCAGAGAACTGAGCCTGAAATTCTATCTGCAATTTCCTCTGAAGGTATCGCTAATTCCTAAGCTGTGTATGCAATGGGGCTAGACTTTGAGAGACCAAGCAGAAACTAGCAATGAAAGAGCTGAGGAGGTATTTTGGCCATTTTGCTAAAGTGGAAAGATAGAGTTATCATATGTTGTTGTGGTTAGGTGTAGTCAAGTTGGTTTAAACTCATAGCGACCTTATGTACGATACAATGAAACAGTGCCTGATTCTGGTATTTTAAATACTACCAGTGATTTAAGGCAGACTCTGAAAAGTTAAGGATGCATGCTAGAATCTCTAGGGTGATTACTGAAAGAATAACAGAAGCAGTAAAATGTCTAAAAAATAGTTCTTTAAAGAATTCAGACTGGATTTAAGGAAAAATAGAACAAGTAATATGCTACTTAAAACAGACACATTTTAAATGCTTACCATTTAGTGTCAATAAATCTAAATTTCTATGTACCTTAATTATATAGGCTATTATATATACAGCAGCTCTAGTAGTGTACTGCCTAAGGCACTTGACTGCTAACCAGAAGGCTGGTGGTTCAAACCCACCAGCCACTCCTCGGAAGGAAGATAGGGCAATCTACTTCCATAGTGATACTGCCTTGGAAACCCAAGGAGGGGTTGCTATGAGTCGGGTCTGACTTGATGGCATGTAACAACAACATACACACACACACACACACACACACACAATACAAAAGTTGTTGTTAGGTGCTGTTGAGTTGGCCCCGACTCATAGCAACTCCTCCTTGGGTTTCCAACGCTGTATCGCTATGGAAGTAGATTGCCCAACCTTCCTTCCACAATATAAAGGGACAGAACTAAAAGAAACCCACAATTATAGGGGGAAAACTTGACACATTCTTCTTAATAACTGAATAGGAGAAGTAGATAAAAAAAATCAGTAGGTAGGTAGAAGCGTTGAACATAACAAACATGATTTCCTTGACTGTGGTAGTTCAATTTGTGTGCCAACTTGGCTGGGCCTGGTTGAATGGTTGGGCAGCTGGATGCAGTAATCCCCATGATGAGACTGGTAATCAACTCCATGGTGAAATCTACTGTGAGCAGCTGAGTAGCTGCCTTAGGGACTGTGGTCTGCTTCCTGTATATAAGCAGAAGCCTTGGAGAATGGTCTCTAGTATATGGCATGCTTGGACCCTGCATGTAGCTGTGTCATCGTTCAGCAGCCTGCCATGCTCTGCCAGTCTTGGGACTTACAATGGACTTGAATTAATGGCCTGCTGTATGGTTTGATAACATAGGGACTGTGCCATTTTATTTGTCAACCTTGGGCTTGTCAGCCTCAGCAGCCACTAGCTGCCTGAGTGAAGAGATGCCTCTAGCTTTAGTGGGCCAGGAGCAAGAGGCAGAGCTGAAGCCCAAGGTCGAGGGGCTTTCACCCAGCCCCCAGAGCCTGGCACTTTGAACCTGGACTTTCTAAATTGTAAGAATAAAGTCCTGTTTGTTAAGGTCATCCCATTTGTGATACATTCTTGTCAGAGTGGCACTAGGTAACCAGAACATTGACACATACAGAATACCATACCCAGCAACTGCAGAATATACATTCTTATGAAACAAATATGGTACAGGAGATTGAATTATACCATAAACTAGTCCATTAAGAAGGTCTTGACAAATGTCAACAGGAGAGAGCATGGTTTCTGACCATACTGGGATGAAGCTGGGAAGTAGGGACAAAAGGATAACGAGAAAATCTACAAATGCTTGAATATCAAACAACACATAAATAACTCATGATGTACAAAAGAAATCACAAATAGAAAATAGCCTATTTTTTAACTGATAACAAATATAAATCAAAATTTGTGAATGTAGCTAAAGCATCTATCTCATGAAACTAGAAAGAGTAACAAATTAAACCTAAAGAAAGTTGGAAGAATAAAATTAAGAGCAGAAAAATTAATGAAATAAAAAGCATATGTCCATTAAGAATTAAAAAAAAAAAACCCAAAACTGCTTCTTTAAACAGAGTACTGAAACTGACAAGCACTACAGCAAGACTCATCTATATACATGTACAAAGAAAATAAAATGAAAGGAAATATCTTAAAACATAAAACATGATAGGTAATTTCTACATGGTACGAATACAGGTCAATTTCCAATGTCTTTTTATATTCCTGTGTGTTTTCTCAATTTTCTACAAATAAGCTGTTTGAAAGCACCAACTCCATTATATGAAATACAGCTTTTTGTGAACTTACCTGGATGCAAGAGAATAAATGGCATTGGCAGATGAGGAAGGTTTGATTTTGGGGTGCTCACACTCTGCACCTACTAATGGGCTGCTGCTATTCATATTCTGGAGAGAAAACAAAGTGTTGAAAAAGAATCTCCTTACAGCTAAGTTTCTCCCTTACTTATTTAACCTATTCAGAATAACAAGAACAACAATATAGACCAGACCTTACTCTCAATGTCATGTCTAGAATATTGTAACTGACAGAACACCATTGTCTTCAGGCTCTGAAAAAAGTTCAAATGTAAGGGTCAGGGAGACAGAGATCTAAAAAGAGCTGGGGAAATGACTGTTTACTTGCTTTTTGATTCTAGAAAGATTTGAGTAAACTGGCTCTTTACATAAACACCATTTCTAGCTTAAAGAATATATCCAAACCCTAGACTGATGGAACCAGAAAGTCAAACCTAACCCACTCTGACTAGACTGCTTATCACATAGATGCCACTTAAATGTTACCTTCTCACTTTCCTTGCAACCAAGAAATTTGTAGTTCATTTAAAGACCACAAGAGTCCTCAATTTCACCCCTCCAGTCCCGTCTGTTTCTTAGATTTCCAACTACCTCCTGGCCGATTCTTCCTTCAATATCCCAATTTTACCTCAAATTCAAAATGTCCTTAGTTAAAATAAAAAAAACTCACTGCCATCCAGTCGGTTCCAACTCATAGCAACCCCTCCCTAGGTTCCTAAGGCAGTATCTCTACAGAACTAGACTGCCCAATCTTCTGAGGAGTGGCTGGTGGGTTGAAACACCAGCCTTGTGGTTAGCAGTCAAATGGTTCTTGGTAATTTCTCATCCTTTTCCCCCCCTCACCCACTGACTGCTTTCAGATCTTCTTAGGTCCTTCTTTCACGCTCTCTAAAGGCTCTACCTAATCTGGCTGTCCACTTCCACTAACAGACAGTAAGATAATACTTTCCCTTTTGCCATAAGCACCAGCTAAACTAAACCCTTTTGTTATTCATTAAATAAAAAAAAACAAACTCACTGCTGTCTAGTTGGCTTTGACTCATAGTGACCCCTCCTTGGGTTTCCCAGGTGGTATTACTACAGAAGTAGATTGCCCAATCTTCCTTCTGAGGAGTGGCTGGTGGGTTTGAACCACTTGCCTTCTGGTTAGCAGTCAAGTGCCTTAAATAGACTCTCCCAAACTCACTTGCTCACCTTCATTTTGGATTGTTCTTCTCCCAGAACCAGCATGGCTCTCTCCCTACTGCTTCAGGTCTTTGCTCAGAATTGTACCCCATCCGTCCATGTACCTTCCACCCCCACTCCAGCTCACCCTATACCTCCTTTATTTTTCTCCACAGAATTTATCATTGTCCTACACACTATTATTTTCCATCTTCCCCCAACCTAGAATGTAAACTCTGTGAGGCCAAGGTTTTTTGTTGTGTGCATAAATGAACCAGTTCTCAGCCCCTCATCTCATACTTAAACAATGGACCATTAACCTTTTTTCAATCTATTCCCTTTCAATCTATCCTGCATGCTTTTTTTTTTTTTTCCTTCAAATTTTTATTGTGATTTGGGTGAAAGTTTACAGAGCAAATTCATTTTCCATACAGCAGTTCATTCACATTTTGTCTTGTGACATTGACTGTAATTCCCCACAATGTAATAGCTCTTTTTCCACTTCCTCCCCATAGTTACCTCTTCCCTGTGTCCTTCCCCCCCATGCACTCCTGCCCCCCAAGGTCTCCCTATGCAAACACTGCCTTTCTGTTCTCCCACGACTGACTGCTCCAAGGAATGTATCTACACGATGTAAACGTTCACCCCAAAAGCCTGTCTATTGTTTGGCTGGAACCCAGGGGAGTGAGTTCAATTCCAGACCTGAAGGGGAACGAGAGGCCTAGTCTCAGGGGTCTCACCAGGCTCTATCAGACCAGCAAAATTTGGTCTCTCTCTCTCAAATGACTGAGTTTTGTTTCACATTGTTCTCCTATTCTATCCAGGATCTCCTGCACTAATTCCCCTCCAAGTGGTTGACTGTAGTAGCCAGGTATCATCCAGTTCTTCTGGTCTCATGGCCATATAGGCCGAGGTCTATCCTGTATGCTTTGTTATTGTTAATTGTTGCTGAGTTGATTCAGACTTATGGTGACCCCGTGGCTCAGAGCTGAACTTCACCATAGGGTTTTCAAGGCTGTGACTTTTTGGAAGCAGATCACCAGGCCTGTCTTCCAAGGCATCTCTGCATGGGTTAGAACCACCAACCTTTCAGCTAGTAGTTGAATGTTTAACTGTCTGATATATCTGGGGACTCTTTCCTGCATACTGCTACTAGATTAATCTCTTTAAAGCATAATTTTGGTCATGTCATTCAAAATTCAAAACCTTCAACTGCTCCTCATTTCCTATCAAATAAATTCAAATTCTTTGGGAAGGGGTATTAAGCCCTTCTAATTTAATGTTAAGCTTCCTTTTCAGTCCTTTCTCCTACTTTGATACACAAAATTTCTGCTCTATCCCAACTAAGGAGTATAATCATTTCACAATACACCTTAAACATCTTTGCCACTGTAGCTCTTTTTTAAAAAATAAATAAACCAAAAACCAAACTCACTGCCATCGAGTCAAATCTGACTCATAGCAACCCCTCCTTGGGTTTCCGAGGTAGTATCACTACGGAAGTAGATTGCCCAATCTTGCTTTCAAGGAGTGGCTGGTGGGTTTGAATTGCCAGCCTCATGATTAGCAAATGCCTTATAAAACTGTATTCATTTTTTTAAAGTACTTCAGATGACATCTTTCCATGAACCCTGACTGATCCATCTGAAGATAAATAACCTTTCCTTCCTCTAAAATTTAATTATTTGCTATTTATACTACTCATGCCATTTATTTATACATAAAAGATATATATTATAATATATAAACATGCTTCATCTGCTCTATTAGCATATATACTTCTTGAGGATATGGATTATATTGTTTTATCTATAGATTCTGTACAAAATCTATCATAAAACCTTGGTCCATTAAATGCTACCCCACAGATACTTATTAATAGGACAAATAATTTCAAAATCAGGACTCACCATGGAGGTATCCAGACTGAATGTGCTTCCAAGTCTAGACACATCTGGTCTGGTTTCCAATTGTGAGGGCAATGAAAAGGGAAGTGAGTGCCGGTTGGTTAATTCTCTTCCTGTCCAGGGGTCACCAGGGCTTGGGGAAGCTACTGGTACTTTGGGGATTGGCCGGGGCAACCATGATTCCCCAAGGCGGCTAGAGGGGACAGGGGGTAGTTTATCCCTGGACGGACAATCGCCTGGTGTACAAGGCAGAGGGCGTCTCTGAGGCCGGGTTTCTGCTCCAACGGAATATGGCCGATCTGGAGGGGGCGGTGGTGGAAGATCTCGAAGTGTGGGAGGTATTGGTAATGGTTTGTCCTTATGAAGGGAGCCAGATGCAGCCTGTGGAAGCATAATGGAAGCAAATTAAAATCTACTAATCCACAACAAAGAATCAAGACTGCAGAAATGGATAATGCTTTACCTTTGAAGTAGTTCCAGGACCAGAAGCACTTGAAGGAACAGACACTCGCTGTTGCAGAAGATCTAGTCGTGGTGGCACTGGAGGAAGGGAAGCTTGTGGGGCCATGGAGAATGGAGAAGGAGGTCGTTCCACCTAGAATAAATAAAATTTCCTAGTAGACTATTCTTATTTGGTGTGCTAGGTTGACTAGTGTTCCCCAAAGATCCATATCCAGCTAGAACCTCAGTTGTTGTTGTTGTTATGTGCTGTCAAGTCAGACCCAACTCAAAGCAACCCCTCCTTGGTTTTCGGAGGCAGTATCACTACGGAAGCAGATTGTCCAACCTTCCTTCCGAGGAGTGGCTGGCGGGTTTGAACCGCCAGCCTTCTGGTTAGCAGTCAAGTGCCTTAGGCACTACGCTACCAGAGCTCCTAGTGTGAGTTTATTTGGAAACAGATCTTTTGCAGATATAATCAAGTTAAGATGCGATTATACTGAATTAGAGTGGATTCTAAATACAGTGTGACTGGTATCCTTGTAAGAGGAAATGTGACAGACATATACTGGAGGAAGATGGTCATATGAAGATGGAGGCAGATGTAACCATTAGAAGCAAAAAGAAACAAGGAAATAGCCAGCCTCCTCTAGTGCCTTCGATGGGAGAATGGCCCTGTTGATACCTTGATTTCATATTTCTAGCCTCCAGAACTATCTACACCTCCAAAGCACAAAGACGCTAAGTTTCATCGTCCTCGCCTCTAAGGAGCATTCTGGCTGTACTTCTTCCAAGACAGTTGTTCATTCTTCTAGCAGTCTATGGTACATTCAATATTCTTCACCAACACCACAATTCAAATGCGTCAATTCTTCTGCAATCCGTGAAAAAGAGGAAGACGCTCAACAAGATGGGTTGACACAGTGGCTGCAACAATGGGCTCAAGCACAGCAATGACTGTGACGATGGCACAGGACCGGGCAGTGTTTCGCTCTGTTGTACACGAGGTCGCTGTGAGTTGAAACTGACCAGATGGCACCTAACAACAACAGCCTCTAGAACTGTAATAGAATAAGTTTCTGCTGTCTTAAGCTGTCTAGTTCATCACAGCAGCCTAAGAAAACTAATATAGGAGGTGTGACACCCTCACTTTCTCCTAAAGTTGTAGGTAGCAAATACTATATAAACATTGAATGTTAACTATCAATGGGCTACACTTAGGCTTGGTCACACAAACCCCTCTTTAAAAACTCAGAACCTTCCAGAGCTTCTAGCACTTCCTGAATTATTTCTGTGTCACCATAAGAGGGCACTCTCAGTCACAGAAATACCAAGCAGATGGTAAACTGTGGGAAACTGTATTTAGAAATAGCTCTAAGATTTTCTTCCAGTTACTGCTGTGCTACAAAGTTTTCTAGCTTACAATTTAAAAAATCACCACAGTTTTCCACCTCCTCATCTGCAGAGGAAGAAGAAAATCTTGAAGACTAAAAACTGGAACCTATATAAAAAGAAGGGGCAGACATTAATCTCTCAACAAATCATCAGGGAAAACAATGTTTAAAAGGCAGAATGAAGAAAGAGTTCAAAGATGATAAATTCTCTGTGGGTTATTATGATAAAAAGAAAAAAAAGAGGTATTTGTAAGAGAAAGATGACTAACGATACACTGTATAAACATCTTGAATCCTCCCAAAGAAATAAGTTATTTCAATTCATTAATTAACATTTTCAGTCCATTTGTTTGCTAAAAATGACGTACCAAATTAGAAGAAACAACATTATTTCCATTTCCCTGTCTACAGCAGGGTGATAAATAGCTGGTAAGCTTCTCAAAGCTGTCAAGAGATAGATAGTAATTCATACAAAATGCTACTTTGCATGTGTATTCCCCAACAGGAAGCAACACTGATGGAACGTAGACAAATCTGTATCACAAGCACTTATGTAAAATAACAGCAAAAATATCCCACCCTACGCTTAGTTCTGTCATTAGTACTGAGAAAGCAAGTCCTCATCACTGTTAGTAGCTTTCACTCATGTGTCAAGAAAATGAGCTTTGCGTCAGCTGACAATGCAGCACGTGCAGCTAAAAGGAAGTCAAAAGTTATTAATCAAGCTAAGTCACTTCATCATCAATGTCCACCAGTCACTCCTGTTGATTTTTCCTTTTCCTTCTACTTACCACACTTAGACTTGCTTTTTTCCAACTTGTCTGCCCTACCTGGTAGGCCCTTTCTGCATATTTTGATTGCTCCCACTACCTGTCTCTGTCTCATTCCTACAGTGCACTGGGTTGAGCTAATCCTTGGTCCATGGTTCAACACCATACCTGCTCCTGCAAGGTCCCTTTGCTTTGTTAATTTATATCCTATTATCCCAACATAAGGCAACTCTGGTGGTGTAGTGGTGAAGGTATTTGGCTTCTAACCAAAAAACTGGTGGTTTGAACCCACCAGTTGTTCCACAGAACAAAGATGAGGCAGTCTGCTTCTGTAAAGTTATAGCCTTGGAAATCCAATGGGGGTTGCCATGAGCAGGAATTGAGTCGATGGCAGTGTGTCTTTTTTTTTTTTTTTTTTTTTAATCCCCATCAATATAAAGGAGAGTTCTAGAAATGGAGAAAAAATTATCAAGAGCATTTTCAAGACCTGAAAGACATAAATATCCATACTGAAAGGGTTCATTGCCTACTCAGACCAATAAAGGCCTAGAAACCCCTAACAAACAAAAAAACTAAAGCAAGAGAGAGGAATACACAGTAGTTAATAGGCAATCCAACACAGAAGAGAGAGGCAATGAAGTCCCATGATGATGGCAGAGGTAATCTTAGGATAATGAGTAACGGGCACAGTTAAGAGAATAATGAGTCAACACTGGCACAGGAACATGGATTACTCCTATATATTAATATACTATAGCATATATGGGAGCTCTGGTACCATAGTGGCTAAGACACTTGCCTGCTAACCAGACGGCTGGCGGTTCAAACCCACCAGCCACTCCTCGGAAGGAAGGTTGGGCAATCCTACTTCCGTAGTGATACTGCTTCGGAAACCCAAGGAGGGGTCACTATGAGTCGGGTTTGACTCGACGGCACATAACAACATAGCATATATAGAGGAGTGTGGTAGTTCGATTTGTGTGTCAACTTGGCTGGGCCTGTTGAGTGGCTGGGCAGCTGGTGGTAGTTAATCCCCATGAGGAGACTGGCCATCAACTCCATGGTGGGATCTACCACAAGCAGCTGCGTAAGTTGCCTTTGGGATGTGGTCTGCTTCCTGTATATAAGGAGAAGCTTTTGGGAATGGTCTCTAGCCTAGGGCACGCTTGGAACCTGCACGTAGATGTGTCATTATTAGTAGCCTGCTATGCTCTGCTGACCTTGGGACTTACAATGGACTTAAGTTAATGGCCTGCTGTGTGGTTTGGTAACATTGGGCCTGTGCCTTTTTACTTGTCAACCTTGGGGCTTCTCAGCCTCAGCAGCCAGCAGCTGAGTGAAGAAATGCCTCTAACTCCAATGGGCCGGGAGCAGGAGGCAAAGCTGGACCCCAAGGTTGAGGGGCTTTCACCCAGCCCCTAGAGCCTGGCACTTTGAACTTGGACTTAAAGCCTCCAAATTGTAAGAATAAACTCCTGTTTGTTAAGGCCATCCCATTTGTGGTATATTTCTTGTCAGTGGCACTAGGTAACCAGAACAAAGAGCTCTGGTGGCAAAGTACCTAAGTTATTTGACTGCTAACCAGAAGGTGGGTAGTTCAAATCTACCAGCTACTCCACGGAAGGAAGACTGGGCAATCTACTTCCATGAAGATTTACTACTCTGAAACCCACAGGGGGTAGCTATGAGTCAGAATGGACTAGAGAGCAGTGAGTTTGGTTTTGTTTTGGGTATAGTATATATAAGGAGCTCTGGTGGTATGGTACCTAAGGCATTCACCTGCTAACTAGAAGGTTGGCAGTTCAAACCTACCAGTTGCACCAGGGAAGGAGGATGGGGTAATCTACTTCTGTAAAGATTTACCACCTTGGAAACCCAATGGGTTTAGATTAAGCTATGAGTTGGCATCGACTTGATGGCAATGAGAGTTGAGAGATAGTATATATGTTAAGGGAGCTCTGGTAGCGTAGTGCCTAAGGCACATGACCGCTAACCAGAAAGCTGGCGGTTCAAACCCACCAGCCACTCCTCGGAAGGAAGGCTGGGCAATCTACTTCCGTAATGTTACTGTCTCGGCAACCCAAGGAGGGTCACTATGAGTTGGGTCCAACTCCATGGCACATAACAACAACATATACTTTAATATATTTTACATCATAGAAAATTATATTGAGAGGCTGCTTGAGAGCATGGCAAGACTAGCAGTGATAGGAACAAACTGAAAAATAAGCAAGTAAAAATAAAGGAATTATTCTAGGAAAAGCAAAAAGCTGTAAAAGCAAGCAAAAACAATTATAGTATATTACTTGGCTCAGAAGAGAACAAAATGATTTAAACCATAAATATTGATTTAGCAAAAAAAAAAAAAAAAAACTTTTTGAAAAAACTATATAAACCAGAACCAGTTGCCATCAAGTGGATTCCAACTCATGATGACCCCATGTGTGTCAGAGCAGAACTGGGCCCCACAGGGTCTCAATGGCTGATGTGGGGAAGTAGATCTCCAGGGCTTTCTTTGGAGGCAGCTGGGTGAACTTGAACCTCTAACTTTTTGGTTAGCCACAAGCTAACTGCACCACCCAGGGATTCCTTCAAAAAACTACAGTGGAAGTATCCATATGGAATGGGAAGGACGGAGAATATAAGCAATCCAAATCCTTTTCTACAATAACAAAAGTCAACAGATACCTAACACTGAGTAATTACGAGAAAGTAGTGAAAGTATATGGTTGAGAAACATGGAGGTAAGAAACATTTTTTTTTCTTACTGTGATTTGGATGGAAGTTTACAGAGCAAATTCATTTTCCATATAGTAGTTCATTCCCCTGTTGTCTCATGACACTGACTGCAATTCCCTACAGTATAACAGCTCTCTTCCCACTTCTTCCCCAAAGTTACCTCGTTCCTGTGTCCTTCCCTCCCATGCACTCCCACCCCTCAAGCTGTCTCCCTGTGCTAACACTGCCCTTCTGTTCTCCCATGACTGAAGGCT